GACACTGCCCACCTGGTTACTTATGTGATCAACTGTGATTAATGGGGTTTGCTAACCCCAAAGACTATATATACCTGTTGAAGAATACGTTCTCTCTCTCTCTGTCTCTCTTTAACTGTCCCATATGACCCTCTCAGTGAGGGCTGGACCCCACATTTGAGGGACTCAAATTTTGCTGCTTTTAAAAGTCCTTTGAGTTTGGAAACAAAAATAAATCTGAAGGGACAAGATCCGAGTTTTAGGGTGAATGGAGTATGGTTTCTCAGTGAAATTCTGTTGCCCTTTAAGAATGAGCAGCTACATTGTCATGATCAAGGGAGGGGAGATTCTATATCAAAAGTTTCTTGGTTGTTTTTTCACCACTGTAAGAAATTTTCTTAAAATGTATTCCCAACATGCCTCATAATTGCCTGGTATGCTTTGAGAAATCTATTAAGATTTTCCCATCACATCCCCCCAAAGAGTCACCTTAACTTTCTAAAAGCAGTGCTAGTGGCATGGTGTATTATACATTGGCTGCTAAGTGCAAGGTCAGAAATTCCAAACCATCAGTTGCTCTGCATATGGACTTCCTCAGATGGAATACACAGAAATTAAATTGACTACATCTGTGGGAAGAGATGATGGAGAAGCTCAATATCAACAGCTAAAATCAGGCCAGGAGAAGACTGTGAAATAGACCATCAAGTAAATTCAGGTTGAAGTGACGGAATTGAAACAAAGTCCATGAGAGCCAAAATACAATCTTGAATCTGTCCCAACTGAATTTCGAGAACATCTCAAGAACAGATTTGCTGCACTGAATACCAATGACAGAAGACTTGATGAGTTGTGGGAGGGCAACAAGAACATCATCTATGAAAAAAGCAAATGTTCATTGAAAAGGCAGAATGAATGAAAATATTAGCATGGATTTCAGAAGAGACTAGTTAGAGGAAATGGAAGTCATGATGAAGCCAATGAGAAGAACAGAAAATTTCTCAAAGTGATTGGAGAAGGCAAAGTTAAATATTATAATGAAATGTGCAAAGACCTAGAGTAAGAAAACCAAAAGGGAAGCACATTCTCAGCATATCTTAAGCTGAAAGATCTCTACAAAAAATGCAAGCCTCAAGTTGAAATATTGAAAGATTCTCTGGGGAAAATATTGAGTGATGTGGGAAGCACCAAGAGAAGATGGAAAAAACACAAAATAACTGTACCAAAAAGAGCTAGCCAACATTCCACCCTTTTAGGAGGTAGCATATGGAGCAAGAACCAATGGTACTGAAGAAAGCTGTTCAAGCTCACTGAAAGTATTAGCCAAAATACAAGGCTCCGGGAATATATGGAATACCAATTGAAATGTTTCAACAAGCTCATGAAGCACTGAAAGCACTCGTTCCGCTATGTCAGAGAGGACACAATTCCATTCATTACAGATAAAGATTTATTGGTGATGCCTAAAGAAAACAATAAGGGAAGTAATCACTGAGCTTTTGTATATATTTTAAGTTCACATAAAAATAAAGGGAGGTAACTGTGGACAAGGATAGATGCATATATATTCACACATCTCCCTTACTAGCCAGATTCCTGCTCTATGAAACTCAAGTACTATATAGAATTAGATAGTGAATTTTGTTATGCAATCTCAAAAGCCAATCTAATCTGTTTGTTATCTAATCTTAAGAGCAAATACATTTAAATATAAAGGTACATGTGCGTACATCTGTGTGATTGTGCACCTTCAGGCAAAGCAGGGTGTGTTTGAGAAATTATCTGAGTCAGCTTCACTTTACTAGAAGTATCCTGTGTTTCTATGGCCCTGCCATTCTCTACATTATTCTTGTTGCTGTTCTGTTCTAGCCAGTGAAGTACTGTAATGACATTAAACCTTGTCAATGAGTTAAATAGCAATCATCCTGAGGACCATGGAAAACTTCTATTACTGGTCATCTTTTATGTAAGTAGCAAACCTTAATAAACTGCCTGTTTAAACACATATATACATACATATCTGCATACATACACAGACACACTCACAAGGGGTTTAGAAAAGTACGTAATAAAAAATCTATTCTTTTAATTCCATTTTCCCACAAGCTTTCTTATATATAAAACCAAAAAACCAAATTCAGCGCTTTCCATTCGATGCTGACCAGTAGCAACCCTACAGGACAGGGCAGAACTGCCACTATAAGTTTCCAAGACCGTAACTCTTTATGGGAGAAGAAATCCCCATCTTTCTCTCTCAAAGTGGCTGGTGGTTACAAACTGCTGACCCAAGGCTCCTTTTATTATACATATGCCCCTTCATGGATATACACAAACACATACACTCACATACACTCAATCTAACTCTAGGAGTGTCACCATCATCAGAAAGCTTAAAGCAGGGGTCCTCAAACTAAGGCCTGCGGGCTACATGCGACCCACAGAGGACATTTACCCGGCCCACCGGGTGTTTTTGCCCGTTTTGGTTTTTTTTACTTCAAAATAATATATGTACAGTGTGCATAGGAATTTGTTCAGTTTTTTTAAAAACTATAGTCCGGCCCTCCAACAGATCTGACGGACAGTGAACTGGCCCCGGTTAAAAAGTTTGAGGACCCCGGGCTTAAAGCTGCTACTTTTGTTCTTTGCTCTATCTCATTTGCTATCTGTGTTAGGCTGGGTAAACTAGAGACACAAGTTCATAAATTCTCTGGCTCCAGAGTTCTGGCTGCATCTGGTTGCAGGATAGGTCTGTATAGCTTTCCCAGCTTCCAAGGCACCGCGTCTATCAGCCGGTCTTGTCAGTAGAGCATCTCTCAGGGAGTGAGCCTTGAGTCTTGTCATTGGAGAGTCTTCAAGGAAGTGAGCAGAGAGAGAGGTGTCTTCCACCTGCAGCAGGAAATACAGGAGTTCCCAGAATTCTCAGGAGAAGGCCATGCCCAAACAGAGGCCTCATTGGCTATGATCCAATTGACAGACTAGACCCCACCCCTTCAATCTTAATCTTCTCAAATCCAAAATTAACACCAGATTATGTAACTAAGCAGAGCATTTTACCTGTCCCGGATTTTCCAAGCACCTGAAACTACAACCACCACAGGCTTTTGGATTACATCTTCTAAGACTGGTAATCAGAAAGATCAGGCTTTTCCTCCTCGAGCCAGTTTCCAAATTCTGGAAAGGCTCTGACTCTGCTTGAGGCCCTAACCTCAGAGACAGAAACACTAGAGCTCAGTTGGGTCAAAAGTTCATTCTTAGACATCCAGGGAAGTCATATAAGAAGATAGAAGTGAAAAAGGAAGAAGAAGATAGAATTTACCATTCAGAATACAAATGAGAGCAAAAGGAGTACTTCCCCAAATGAGGAATTACGCTATTCTGAAAAGAAATGAGGAGTAATTGCCAAAGAAAACAATAAAGATCAACTCTGAAGCTGAACTATAGCAGCAGTCTGTGTATTCCAGGATATAAGATTTGGAAATGAATGTTTGAAAAAGTGCAAAAAATAATGATTTGAACATAGTCATGTGGATTTGCCTTTCTTTAGTGGGGCACGTTTTTGCTATTGATACTTCGATAAGAGAACGCTAAAAAAATAAATGCACACTTGAAAAGCATCAGCAAACTCAAAAAGAGGGTCAGTTCGGGGCACTTCACGTTGAGTAGCTTTAGAAATTGAAGGAAAAATAATCAAAATCAAATTCTTTTTCTCAGTCCTAAATCAAAACCGGGCTACATCCAGCAGTTCAAAAGCCCCAGTTGCACCTTGGAGAAAAGCCTAGGCTGTCTCCTCCTGTAAAGGTGTAAAGGCCTGGAACCCGCAGTGAGCAGTTCTAAAGAGATGACAGGCAAGAAAAGCCTCTGGAGACAGGGTCTTTGTGCAACACCTGTGGTCACCGTGTGTCAACAATCAGCTCAGTTGTAACAAGCTTGGCTTCTGTGGATTTTGTTGTTTTCACATAGCACCAAAGCCTACACGTGACATGATTTGAACCAGTTGTGGTCAGTGGTCATCAAATCAATCCTGAACTAGAGAAGCAAAAAATGCGATATAAATTTTGTCTTTCTTATACTCATCTTCATTTCATTAAGGACGCTGTAGTTTAAAGTCCGATTTAAAAAAAAAGGGTTAACACTCTCTCCTAACATCTATAATTCTTTGAAAGATATGGTGATCGATTTTAAGTGAAGTAGTATGGCAAGTTTTACACCTTTCCTAAGTCCCACATTGCGTATGTTTGTGGAAATCTCAAACACCACTCTCCGACTAATTAAGAGGGTTATGAAGCTACATTTACCCAGGGAGCACACAGCAACACCTCCAAGGCGCCTTTCAGAAGCAAAAGCACCCATTTCCCAAGGAAAGGTACGCTGCCGACGTGCTTTGCTTTACGTGCGAGCACTGCAGGGAATTCTATAAAGTTTGGTGGGAGAAGTCGGTGGTTGCTGTTGCTGTCACATTTCAAAGCCCCCTAAATTGGACTCCGAACAATGCTGTGTGCAATTAAAGCGCCTTCCGCCCTGGCGCGCCTGGGACCCTACCTCCGCCCCGCCAGCGACCACCAGGGGGAGAAGCAGCGCCGGCGGAACCAGGTG